ATCTGAGATCTGGGGATGACATTCGTGCCTTTTTAAATCTCACTGTGACCTTTTCACTTGGGCATTTTGGCATTTTGTGAATATTTCGTTACTGTCATTTTGTTAGACTCATAAAAATTGCGCTATTAATATTAAAACGTTATAACATAAAAACAAACATACAAAATAACTAACTAACTGTATGGAGTCGAGTCCTGCTTGAGAAACCACCAATCGCTCAGTTACTAAAAAAGTTCACAGAATTTCATGGCACCCGAAAGTTCACTCCCGTGTTGGCATATGCTTTCCACTGGTCCCTCCTGATCAGATGAACGCAGTTCGTAATTTCTTGCCGTTTCTTTAAGACTCCTTTTAATGTTATTCTCCCAACTACATCTAGGTCTTCCTGTCGGTCTCCTCCCTTCTAGGTTTTCCATCAAAACCTTTTACGGAGTCATCATTTAACAAAGTGCAACCACAAAACAAACAAAACATGCAAAACTGTTGAAATATGTAGTCCCGTGATCTAACACTCTCTAACTCACTAGTATTACCAATCCAATTGTTGAATTGTCATACCTCGTAAGAGTCATTCGGGTGGTGCTGACATACCAGTGGTTTTGATAGAAGAAGATTAGAAAAGTAAACTACATAATATAGTACACAAATCTCCCCGTGGCGTGTTTTGCACTCTATTAAGTTTTCTTATGGCTTATTTGTAAGCCGAATTTAAGTGAAACAAAATATATTTGATAAAACGGGAGAAGTTTCTATTTAAATTACATAATAATCGAAATTAAAGAAAATATATAAAATTGTTTATAATGTGTGGAGAAGGTTATTTATGGGCATATGTTGGTCTAAAATTGATATTGTAATTAGTGACTATAGCTAAGAAGCAAACGGCCTAAAAACGTTACGTAAAGGTCCCTCACATCAAATTTTACAAATATTTGTTTGTTTGTTAACGAGAGAGGCCTACGTGAAGAAGTCCATGTAGGTTTGCATTAATTTATAGGATTCTTTGTTACAGAACAATATGGCAAAAGAACGAAACGACTTTTAGCGAGTCTCCCATATCGAATTCTAAGGAAGACGTTGAAGCGGTCTGTGAGATACATGCAAAATTAAATTTGCAGTCTCATGTAAATTATGCTCTGTACTCGGGAAATACCGTTAAAACTCAGGACGACCGAATAATATTACGCAAATTCTCTCCTACCGAATATCACAGAAAATTAATTATTTAGGATATGAATAAAAATTCTTTTTGTGACCTTACGTAATTAAGACTTCCTAATGGATCAGTATGACACAGCGGATGTGCCTAGTAACACTTGACGAAAGTCCTCCATATTGAATTTTAACAAAATCTGTTCAACCGTTTAGTTGGTGATATTGGGTCACAGATGGACAGACGGACAGATGACAGGAGGCGTTCATTTTTATTTTGCAAAGCAGGCCGAATATTGTGCTGATGTAACGGATCTGCAGTTGTTAACAGCTCGGAGTAACAATGGCTAGTATATGTCGGTAAATGTAGCCCAACTTTAGCTTTCGAAACATTGTCCAATTTTTATGTAATTTGGTATGGACGTTGTGTCATTGGATGTCATCCAAACATTGTACTTGTAATGTTCTGTAATAACAATATGGTGGACACGCAAGCTTGTGAGCTGTACAACTGCGGCTTAATTTATGGTGCTAACATGATGTACAATTATATACAGTAATACCTGCTTTAAACGGATCCTTTATTAAACGGAATTTGTCTTAAACGGAAATATTTTCAGGTCCCGTGACTTTTGAGCTGAAAAAGATGTTAAATATCCTGGATTAACAACAAACAAAACAAACTCCGTGGCCTGTAGTCCGCAAGCGGACTATACCGACCGCGGAGACGAAAAATAAGAATAAACCTTTACACGGAAAATTTCCAGTCTTCCGGAATGCATCATTTAGAAGAATTTTAAATATCCTGTACATTCTACATAGTTTTGTTTTGTCTACATTATAGAAAAAAAAATTTGCTAACGTTTGGAGGGCTATATTAGGGCGAAATTTTGGCGTTACCAATGGGAGGGCTGCATGAGAGGCATGCAATGCAACGTGGAGTTTGGGTACCAAATCAGCATTTGCTCTAGGACCGAGGAAAACCACGGAAAACCTTGGTCGAGTTGGCCGGTCGCAGGACCTTCCGTATGCAAACTGACTTCTAGCCAGCAGTCCTGCGTTNCGGTTAACACCACATATACACGGCGCCAAAGCCCAGAAGACTGCTTTCTTCAACTGAAATGTTTGCCCTTTTCGGAAATTTTACTAAGTAAGGGCTCTAGGCCTACATTTTTACTTTAGTCTAGTAGTAGTTATCATTTCTACAAAGACAAGAGTTGTGTTTGATCTTAACATAAGAGTAAAAGTGATTCGTGCGAGTGAGCGAGATAAATTGTCTGTTTAGCAAATCATGAAGATGTTTAACGTCGGCAAAACTCAAGTGTATGAGATTCTAAAGAAGAAAACGGAAATTTTGAAGCAGTGGGAAAATTGTGCTAATGGGAAAATAAGAAGAGAACTTAAGAAAACTGCAAACGAAGCAGTTAATGAAATAGTGTGGGAGTGGTGTGTCAGTGTCAGGGCGGAAAATCACCGCGTGTCGGGTCCTACGGTACAGAAATATGCTAAAGAGGTTGCTGAAAAACAAGGGAAGACTGAATTCAAAGCATCTAAATAATGGTTGGAGAGTTTTCGCGAAAGACATCAGATAGTTTTTAATGAATTTTATGGTGAATCAAGTGATGTAAATAGTGAGACAATTGAAGAATGGGTAGCTAAATTGCCATCCATAATCGAGGGACATGAACCTGAAAACATAGCGAACGGTGATGAGACCGGACTGTTCTTATTATAATATACCTTGATTAAACGGAAAAATGGCTTCAGCAGAAAAATGTTCTGGACCCTTGAGATTCCGTTTAAGACAGATTTTACTATATCTTAAAAGAGTATGCTGGAGTAATTAATCCAGTGATTGAGATTAGATATTTCTAACGGACCCAACAGAGTAGATATCTGCCACCCCCTCACATGGGAACGGAAATGGATCCAGTTTTATTTTTAAAAATACCAGACGATGGACAGAGTCCAAAAACCCAGTAATTCTGAGTCTTATACACAATCGTTAGAACCCTTTAGAATCTACGTGGGCCTGAACTGAGAACTTGTTTTTGTCAAACGGTATTTAGGAAACGTTTATTAGAGCTTTAGGCGACCGACATTTGTTTCAAGTAGTATCTACTGGGATATAACGCCATGTATGTAGTCCGCTGCTAGTGAGCCGATATTTCGGAGGGACATATCGCCTCAATCTTCAGGTTCGAAAAATAAGTCGAGCACGAAATTAGCCTTTCTTGGTTTCTTGCTCGGCTTATTCTTCGACCCTGAATTCTGAGGCGGTATGTTCCTCCGAAACATCTGTTGACTTTCAACGGACTACACATCCCATAAGGTAATCACTGCTGTGAGATCCTCATATTCTACAACATATATGTCACTAGGGCAAATTATGAATTTGCACTGAATGTGTAAAGCAGGCCGCTCACTTCCGCTTAATGCCTAGGTCCATAATACGTGGAACTGACCTCTGGCCACGCCGCCGATATGCCTGGCGGCGTAGAGGAAACGGGGGTGGGGCGGGAGCGCAATTTTCTTTTTTTTTTTTTGCTTTTGTTAGCAGATTAAGAAAAAACCTCTCTGCTACCCAAACTGAAACTATCTGTTGCCGTCATTGCCGCTTCTGAATTTACTTCTCTAAACAACTGTCGCTGTCTCAGACTGTACCGGGCTGACAGTGAAGAGCGAATTGGAATGCATTTGGAATGAAGCGGTCGTGGCCTAATTTGAGATATTATCCCAGTATTTACCTGAAGATGGAAAGCAACAAAACCCCTACGTCAGGATAATGGTGATCCGACCTAGATTTGAACCGGGTTCCTACAAAATATAATTTAAGAGCATTAGCGTTTGGTTAATCTTTTTCGGTTACCTGTTATGCAGAAACTTTCTTCTTAGACGTAATTTCGTCGATGAAAATGATACACTATTTAGAAAGCAGTCTTCTGGGATTTGGCACCGTGTATATGTGGTGTTAACCGACGTTTCGGAGGAACGTATCGCCCTCATCTTCAGGGTAGAAGAAAAAGTATAAGAAATCTGCAAGCGACAACACCGTGAGAAACGGTAAAGCTGCTTTACCATTTCTCNCTAGGTGCAATACATTCCTTAGGGTCCTTCATATTCATCTGTAGGAACTGTGGCGTGTTCCAAAGAAAAAATTAGCTTCGTCATTGTGTCTCGAGTGTAACCATGTTGTTTTACTTTTTGCCTTTTATCTCTGTGGTAGTGGGGGGGTATTTTACGACGCTGTTACCGTCGCACGCCTCGTAGCTTCGAATGATAAACTGATTGGTGGATAATAAATTGGGAATTATTTGTGAGGAATTGGTAAGGTAAAGGTAAAGTTGTCCCTGTGCTCAACGAATTAAGTACTACACCATGAAGACGTATGGGGGAGTGGATGTATACATCCATATATTCTTGACTTCGGCACTAGCTGGAGGTTATTTGTCAGCTTAACGTCCCGGCAGCTTTATCCTCGGAGAAAGAGCACCCCTTACATATATATATGTGTTAGTAGCCTCTTACGCTGCTGATTACTATCCTTTCTGTGTACAATCTCCTTTCAGCGTTCACTCAAATAATATTTTCCGTTAGAATTACTGAGACTCTGATATCTATATTCTGACTTTTTCTGCTGAGACAATACAGATAAGTAGTACAAGTGTTGCATACGAGTACGAAGAAGAGGTTGTTGTTCATGAAGCTTCTCAAAATCCGTGCCAGGTTGCGAACAGTACAAGACTGCCCGTGCCAGCTTCTTGAACCGAGTCAATGACAATTAACGAGGGTATCGAGAACAATATTTGGTTTCAATTAAGGTAGTACTTTCTTTTTTTTGTCTGCAGTGAGATGTCAGCGGTACACATTCACTGCTCATAGCAGCTCCATGGCGTCAATTCCGGTAGCAAGAATGAGCCTTTACCATCAATCGGAGGCCCAGACCAGACAAAGACGATGAGGTCTGGAGTTCCACTGCCGCTGGGTAAGTTCAGTGACTTACATTTCGTGGATGAAGGGGCGATGAGTCGGCGAATGCATGTCAGTCCATTGAAATGTTTGCCCAATCCAAGATGAAAGTTGAGGCAGACCTCTCTGGAAATCCTTTTTTTATTTTCAGTTGCCTCCAGTAATCTTGAGCCCTGGTTTTTCGTTTCACCTTTCTTTTTCAACAACAGATTTCAGAGGTGAAGAAGCACAGTAAGTATGCTAACAGCCTCTTCTTGTTGAAGGTCAGAAATGAGACCACTGGCAGTCAGTTGAAAGCAGCACTTTCATTGCTAGGTACTAGAATTAGAAAACGACTATTTTACCTCTCGTTTTTATGGGTATGAGACTTGGTCCTGCATTTAAATTGAGGGTGTTAGAGAAGAGAGGTGAGAAGAATATGCACGCCAGATAGTGCGAAAGAGTGGAGAAAATTGAATAAAACCTGGAGGGATGAACATTAGATACCTATATCTAATGTTCTTGAAGATGTGAGACGTGAGAATGTGCACTTGACCCGGGCCGCCGCGGTGGGAAGCCAGCGACTAACCGCTTGAGCCATGGCGCGGCCATCTTGGGTAGTAAGTCGGAGCAGAAACATATAGACTCACATTGCTCCGACACTCGGATAATTTTATTTATAACGGTTTATATGATGTGGGAGTCATATCAAAGCTGTTAACCGTGACATTTCGCATTTCTGTTATGTTCCATAATGACGTCGATGTGAGCAAGTCTGAGGCTTGAAAATGTGTGACTTCATTACGTCTGGTACGCTTAAGTACCAAGTCAAGTACTGGGCTCACTCACTGACGGAGCTGAGCCCCTCGAGAAACCGCCAATTGTGCAGCTACTCAAGAATTTCCCAGCATTTTATGGAACCCGAAGGTTCATTACCGTGTTCACAACAGCCCTCCATTTGACCTTATCCTGAATCAGATCAATCCAGTCCATACCATCCCATCTTATCCCTCTAAGATCCATTTTAATATTGTCCATCCATCTACGTCTTTGTCTTCCTAGTGGTCTCTTTCGCCCTGTCTCTCCCACCAATATCCTATATGTATACCGCTTCTTCCCCATTCGTGTTACATGCCCTGCCCACCTCATCCTCCTTGACTTGATCATTGTAATTATACTTGGAGAAGAGTACAAGTTATGAAGTTCCTCATTATGTAGTTTTCTCTAACCTCCCGTCCCTTCATCTCTCTTCGGTCGAAATATTCTCTTCAAGGTCCTGTTCTCAGACACCTCCAGTCTCTGTTCCTCCGTTAATGTCACATAACAAGTTTCACATCCATACATAACCACACATAAATTTATAGTTTTTTGTATTCTGATTTTTATGTTTTCAGACATCAGACAAGAAGACAAAAGATTCTGGACTGAATTATAGCGAGCAATACCTGAATTCAGTCTCCTTTCAGTTTCCTCCTGAATCAGGTTTTGATTTGATATAGTCGATCCCAAATATCTGAACTGTGCCACATTTTCAAAACATCTGTTACCTATTTTTATGTCATAATTTTGCCTTGCATTTTGGCGACGAGATAGCAATATATGCTTAGTTTTCTGTGTTTACTTCTAGACCAACCTCCATACTTGCGTCAATTAAAGCTTGTGTGTTTTTCTTTATATTATCTACGTTATCTCCCAGTAGATTAACATCATAAGGATACACCAACAGCTGATGTGTCCCATTTAGTTTGAGTGCTACCAAGTTTACCTTGACCTTCCTAATGGCATATTTTAAGTAAAGTTGAAAAGCATTGATGATAAAACATCTCCTTGTTTTAGACTATTCTGGATAGGTAAATTATCAGACAGATGTTTACCTGTACGGACTTTTCTATTCGTTCTTTTTAAAAATATTTTAATCAGCCTGATGAGTTTCATGGGTACCCCAAATTCTATTAGAATGTTGTACAATACTTCCTTCCTAACTGAATCATAGGCTTTAAGTAGTGATCACAGATTTTAAAAATAAACAATATATTGAGAACTATGTGCATATAGTTGATTATTATAATTAAATCAAGATAGATAAAGAGGATGTGGTACGCGGCAGCGTTGAACATTTAACAGGAAATTTTAAATAATAACGTTATCGAAAAGCCTAACCACAACAGCTTAGAAAATTCTGAAATTCCAGTTATAATATAATATATAAGATATAATAAGTTGCTACTATAACGATGCATAGTAAGCAGGTCTGTTGTCTGAAAGAAAAAATTTCGGCAGAGGTTGTCTACAAAAACGAACTTCGCCAAAGACATCCTGTACTTTTTTAATTGCCAGTAAAGCACTTTCCATTGTTCACTTAATCACTAGACAATGAAAATGCATTTCTTTCAGTCACAACTTGACCAAGTGTAACATCAATTGTTTTAGCTCACAGACACAAAATACACACTGACAGGCATTTCATAAATTTCACCAATAGCCATTATGAAGTGCAGAAGTGCAGATTCGAAGAGGAGTTCGACAAGGATGCTGTTTATCACCAATTCTGTTCAACTTGTACAGCGAATGCCTTACCAAGGAAGCTCTGGATGGGCTCGGAGACTTCAAATTAGGAGGGCAAATTATTCAAACTGTGAAATATGCAGATGACCTTGTGTTAATGGCTAAGGAAGAAACTGTACTACAGGGCATGATTGATAGACTAATCGAAATTGGAAGGTGCTATGGCATGGAAATGAATGTGGAGAAAACAAAAGTAATGAAAATTTCGAGACAACCAACCCCAGTCACAAAAAGATAGACCAAAAATAACTGGAGAATGTGAAAAGTTTTAAATATTTGGGTAGATTGTTAACAGATGATGGAAGGTGTATTAGTGAAATTAAATCTAGGATTGCCATGGCAAAAGCTGCATTTAGCAAGACGAAGAAGAAGAATC